GGGGGGGGGGGGGGGGCCTCAGAATGAGCATTTCTAACAAGTACCCAGATGATGCTGATGCCACTGGCTAGGGGCCAGGCTTTGAGAACCATCGCAGTTGAGAGATCATTCTCAATACAATGCCCCATTTCTTACATGTACTGAGAAGGGTCATGACTCTACCTCATCTGACTGAACTGTCCCTGCCAAGCTACTTATACACTGAAATTGTTGAAGTGCCTCTGCCTCCTACCTGACTCTAAGCCAGGGGTTCCCCAGCTTGGCTGATACTGGAATCACCTAGAGAGCTATCAAACCCCTCGGAGCTGAGACCTCCCTCTAGACCGATTAAATCAGAATGGGGATTGGGGGGGGCAGTACTCAGCGGTTTTTAAAGCTCCCCAGGTGATCCAAAGTGCAGCCATGATGGAGAACTGCTTCCACAAGCAAACATGAGGGGTGACTAACTGACGCCACCTGGCTCAAGCAGACAATTCAGCAGGGCTCTACACCAGGCCCAAACCCAGGTTTGTCTCCTTCGGTGCTGGCCGAGCCCCTTGTACAGTGACATACAATAGATCCTCAGAAATGCCTGCTGAATGAATGAATACTAATTAACCAGCAAGCCTATGGAGGACCAGCACCTCCTTTCTCCAGGGTACTTGGATGAACACGAGGATACAAATTATGTCATCATAAATCATTAACCTTCATGAGGAGCGAAACCTTATAATAAAAGAAATTCCTCTCAGAAAATTCCACTCCACAGTCATGAGTCTAAAAGAACATAATGACAACTGTGGATGAAAACTAGAGTAAAATGTTTTGGTCTAGAACAGAGTCAGCAAACTGTGACCCCATAAGCCAAATCCATCTGCTGCCTATTAAAAATAAAATTTTACTAGGACAAAGCCATGCCCATTGTGTCCCTATCATCTGTGGTTGCTTTCACTATACCAGCAAAGGTGAGTATTTCCTGCTGAAATGGTATAGTCTGCAAAGCCAAAAATATTTACTCTGGCCCTTTACAGAAAAAGATTTCTAACCACTGCTCTAGAGAAGCAAGAGGACATATACAAACAAAACATAATGGCAATTGTCGTTAGGTGTGGAATTATGAAACAAGAAAGGAAGAAGAAACGATCTGCCTTGATGTAGGCAATAGTGAATGGGCTGTCTGGCTTCCCACTGGGGGCAGTACCTTGTTTCCAATGGCCTTTTTGGGGGGGAAGTTGTAGGCCCTCACTTGAGGGTACTTGTTTTGTAACTTGTGGTGCAAACTCCTAAACTCCGTATACCGCCGATAGACATTCCATTCATCATCTTTGATTCGGATGTAGACCTATCAAGAAAAAGAAGACAAAGAAAATGTCAACTCCTCTGAAAACCCTCATTACAAAGGAGTAGGATTTCGGCAATGCTCAACCCACGAAAGCCAGTGCCACTGGAGTAGGGGCCACATCTGTCTCAATCACCACTGGATGCCAAGTGACTGGCACAGAGTAGGGCCTCAGTGGTACTGACTGAACAAATGGGTATGCGACAGAATGACTGGGTCAAGCAGGTTACAGGAACAGCATGCTGTTTGTCATTTTCCCAACATCAACAGAGATCAGCCTGATTAATAGCAGAGATGCATTTTTCATGTTTTTGTCCCATGCATATTGTAGAACTAACAGGCTGCTGGTGAGGAGCTATTCAACCTCCCTGGCCATTTGTTCCCTTATCTGTAAAATGGGGCTGAGAACAGCATCTCCCACCCGAGGTGATATGGAGAAGCTTTGGTATATAGCCAATGCAGCTATGCCGGGATCATGCAGACCACCATACAGATGAGGTGCAATTTGATTTGGGAAAGGAGGGAGGAGCCAGAGTTGAGATCTGCACAACTGGATGAAATGTCACATCCAGATGGGATAAGCACAACTGGGACATAAAACTCATTTTAATCAAGTTGTGACTTTTAGGAAAATACTCTGGGGATACAAAACATAAAGGCTGGTCCATCAGCTTTTTACAAGCCCTAGTGCCTTCCAGGGACACACAGTAACTACATCACAAGGAAAAATAGAGAAGAGGGAGAGAGATCAATGCATTTTTAAAAATTACACCGGTTAAGAACAGCTCAGAGAGTAAAATCCCCAATAATGAATGGCTACTGTAATTTACAATCAGTAAATGTCAATACATAACTTAAAAACCTCTTTAACCATACAAATAGGCATCTCTAATGTGAGTGATAAATTCTGCCTCTACATGAAAACCACCCATCATTCCTAAATGCAGATTTTATATATCTGAACTTTGGTAAGACGATTATCAGGATCTCTCACAATATCCTTGTGAACAAGAGAAAGAAAGGAAGACTTATACCAGAGAATTTCAATTAACAAACAGACGTTTCCAGTGGAATTAGATGAAGAAACAGAAGGCCTATCAAGTTTATAGAAGTCCTCAAGCTAAGAGAAATAGTAAATAAATCAGATGACAGACATCAAGTGATCTTGACTGGCCTGAGGGATCAGTCTAATCCAACAAGACAAAATTCAAGAAGATCAATGTCAGAGCCTACATTAAAATCCAAAGAACCAATACCATAACTTATAAGATTGGGGAGATATGGCACAGCAGAGGCCTGTGGGACAAAGACTTATATATTTTAATACATTGAAGCTAAATGAATAATGTAGGAGGGACACCAAAAAAAAGCCCATAAAATCTCAGACCTCATTAAAAGAAATATGATAACTTCTAGAATAAAGGAATTGAAAGTCCTGCTCTATTCTAAACTGAACAGACCAACTTAGTTGGTTTTGGGTTGCCACCTGTTAAAAGATGAACTGAAATATGTTCAGGAAGACCCAGACCACTTGTTACTCAAAGTGTGGTCCAGGAACCAGCAGCACTGTCATGATGTGTTAGAAATGCAGAATCTCAGAGAATCTCAGGCTCCACCCAGATGTACTGACTCAGAATCTGCATTTCAACCAGAACCCCAAGTGATTCATACACAAAGTGTGAGAAACACTAGGCTCTAGTAGAAGATTTGCAACCAAATTATGAGAAGAAAGATGTAAAACACTGAACGATAACGAGACTAAGAAGGGGGAAGGCGCTAGAGGTCTCCAAATTCCTAGAAAGGCTATAATGAGGAAGAGGAAAGACCAACATGATGTGTCCTGGGTGATTCCAAGAAGCAGACCTCCAGCAGGTAGAAACTAGTGGAACATCAATTTCAGGAGAGAAGAACTTTCTAACAGCTAAAGCTACACAAAGAGGAAAAGGTATGTCTTGAAAAATTTCTTGGTGCTAGGTATCCAAGCAGTGCTGGATGATGACTGACAGAACTGTTATCACGAATATGCAGATATTTTATTTATAACAATGAAGTTTACATTGGACACCAAAAGCCTCTGCAAGGGCTTGGCTAGTTATGGAGAACTGGGACTTCAGGCTCTCACAGTCTCCACAGACTGAGTGAGACATGACAAATCAGTAGCAAATAAACTCATGGGACTTTAGTGCAGCATATCCGAGGCATTCTCTGAGTCCTCCTAAGTGACAGCAAGTGCTAACCACCCAACATCCATTTTTCCCCAATACCGCTGAGGATGGCAACATGCTCAGCCAAAAGACAAAATTTTTTTTTTAAAAGATGACGAGTAAGGGGATCTTAACCCTTGACTTGGTGTTGTCAGCACCACACTCTCCCAAATGAGCTACCTGGCCATCCCATATAGGGACCCAAACCCACAGCCTTGGTGTTATCAGCACCACATTCTCCCAGGTGAGTAACGGGCCAGCCCTGAAAGACAATTTTTTAAACAATGTTTCCCTGTTTCCCTTGCAGGTAAGAGTGGCTAATGAGATATGAGCAAAAATCATTGTTTGAGGGCTTCTGGGGCTTCTAAAAAAGATCTGACTCAGCTAACAAGCGCCTTTTTGTTCTTCTTCCTGACTTTTTTTTTTCTTTCTCAAACACAAATGTGGTGACTGGAGCTCCAGCAGCCGTCTTGTGATCATGAGGTGATCTCGGGCACGAAAGCAGGAAATCGGAAGAACTCTGGGTCTCTGAGGACCTTATGGAGCTACCACACCAATTATTAATCACTCAAGACTTTTTTTTTTTTAACAAAAGAAAAATATTCACCTCTAATTTGTTCAGGCTAATGTTTTAGGGGTCTTTTATTAGCAGCTGAGTGCAATTCTGATCTGATACAACCTGAATGGAGCATATCTGCTTATGGTATATTCTTACACAAGTCCAAAAATAGCCCTTGGAGAGTGGCAAGTTCAATCACCTGTCTGATCATCTTGCATAATACTAATTATCTAGATCAAGGTAACAAACTATGGCCCATGAGCCAAATCCAACCACATCCATTTATTTACTTACCAATTACCTACAGCTTCTTCTGCAATACAGCAGAGACCATACAGCCTGCAAAGCTGGAAGTATTTACTTTCTGGCCCTTTCCAAAAAAAAGTTTGATGACCCCTGATCTAAATATTCAGATGTCCTCATTATGGTTATTTTTTCACCAACATATCTGAGATCCAGTGAGCAGGGGGCATTGCTCTCCAAATCTTATCAGTCACTTGGTGAGCTACATTAGCCACCTGAGGCCCAGGAATCCATAGTGTGCCTAAGCTTCTCTGGCGATTCTGATGAGTGGTCAGTTACACCCTATTCGACCTTTCTAGCTATTCGTTTCCTCATCTGTAAACTGGAGCTGATAACAGCACCTTCCACCCAAGGCGGTCCGGAGAGCATTCAGGTCTATAAGCAAGGCAGCCCTGCCTGTGATCATGCAGACCACCATATGGATGAGGTGGAATTCCATGTGGAAGGAGTGAGGAGGCGATGGTCAAGATCTGGACTCTCAGTTATCAGCCCAACTGAATAGATCACTTCCAGATGGGACAAGCACACCTAAGGCTAAAACTTCTTTATTTTAACTAAGTTCTGACTCTCAAGAGAAAAGAGGGTACAAAACATGAGCACTGTTTTGTCAGCCGTTTATGGCCTTAGCACCTTCCAGGGACATGCAGCAAGTACATCGCAAGGCAAACCAGAGACATGGAAAAAAGATCAATGCGTTTTTAAACATTACAGGAGTTAAGACAGCTGTTTTAGTCCGTTTTGTGCTGCTATAACAGAATTACCTGAGACTGGGTAATTTATAAAGGAAAGAGGTTTATTTGGCTTACGATTCTGGGACAGCTGCATCTGGCATGGGCCTCAGGCTGCTTCTACTCATAGCAGAAAGTGGCAGGCAACCGGTGGGTACAAGCATATCACATGGTGAGAGGAAGCGAGAGAGACAGAGGAGGTGCCAGGGTCCTTTATACAACCAGCTGTCGTGGGAACTAATAGAGCGAGAACTCACTATCTCTCCTCCCCCGGGGAGAGCATTAATCCATTCATGAGGGATCCACCCCCATGACTCAATCAGTTTCCAACACTGCCACAATGGGGATCAAATTTCCACATGAAATTTGGAGGGGACAACACATCCAAACTCCATCACAAAGACTCAGGTTTACGAGGGGTTTTTAAAGAGCAGGGTGAAGGAATGGAATGTAGAAAATGAAAACTAGGAGGGAGGGGCACGTGAGCAGCGAGCACTTCATGCAAGGTCTCAGGTGCAAGGTCCCACCACGGCTCTGTCTGTCTTCTGCTCCCGTCCTTATCTCTGGGTAGTACGTGCAAGTCTGCAGCTTCAGGCTGGCTGGAAAACAACTTTACATTCATGTACATAATGTCATCTTGCCCCATCACCAAGGTTCAAAATATCAAATAACCATAGGGACAGAGGGAACTCAGAGAAATGCATGCCATGAAAAAAAAACTGTGTCTTTTCAAAATCTTTTAGAGCCCGTGTGGTTTTAGGTCTCAGCATGGCTTCAGTCCTGCTTACCCCAATACTCCTCCCATTTTACAGACAGAGAAAAACAAGGTACAGTGAGGTTACATAACTTGTCCAAGGTCACACAGATAGTAATGAGTGGGTCAAACATAGAGGTGGTCTGGCTCTAAAAGCAGAGTTCTTAGCTACTATGCTATATGCAACCCCCCTCCACTTCTTTTAAGACATGATTTTTTAAGACATTATTTCTTGCAAGCAATTTTAGGTTCACAGCAAAATAGAAAGGAAGGTACAGAGATTTCCCACATAACCTCTACTCCAAACATGCATAACCTACCCCATTTATCAACATTGCCCGCCAGAGTAGTACTTTTGTTCCAATCGATGATCCTACTTTGACACCCCAAGTCCACAATTTACATTACAGTTCACTCTTGATGTTGTACATCCCATGGGTTCAGACAAATGTATAATATGTATCTACCATTACAGTATCATACAAAGTATTTTCACTGCCCTATTGAAAATAAAAATAACATTAATAAACATTTCATAAGTATTTAGTATGTTCCAGATACTGATACTTCCTCTTCTGCTTTTACTGGGGGAAAAAAAAATTAAGTACAAATGATAGATTTTACAAATTGGGGGTGGTGGTGAAGGAGAGGTAGATGGAAGGGTAGGGATGCTACTAGCTTTTACAAAGTGGGGAGTCAAAAGATGCTGTCTATAGTTGATAGAAAAAGAAATGGAAGTTTTAATTCTTAAGATTGGAAAAATGGCCAAGAAAGAAATTAAAATTATGTAACAATATTAGGAGAAGGTGGGGAGGGTAGGAGAGAGTTTGTATCGGTGAGCTAAATCTTCATAACTAGTGGCAGGAAATCAATTGACATTGTGGTTATATCAAAATAAATTTCCCAAGGGCCGGCCCGGTGGCGCACTACTACAGTGCGCCGCTTGGGAGCGCAGCGGCGCTCCCGCTGAGGGTTCGGATCCCACATACAGACTGGCGACCGCTCACTGGCTGGGCGAGGTGCGGGCGCAGCACTGAGGGTTGCGATCCTGTTGCCAGTCCCGGTCCGGTACGGGCGCGACACTGAGGGTTGCGATCCGTTGCCGGTCACGAAAAAAGACAAAAAAAGGAAAAATAAATAAATAAATTTCACAAACAAGAATTTGTGGTGTATGCATGCTATTTACACATACAGAGGCACCACCAGATGAATTAAAAACCAAATGGTTAAAGGGGGCTGCCTGGGAGTTGACTACAGATAGAAGAGGTCAGAGGCTCTTGTTTTATTTTACACTATTGTATTTTTAAAATTTATATTAACAAAGTAGCCTAATAATATGTTAAAAAGTGAATGTTATTTACATGTTTCATGTTATTGAAATAAAATAATTATAAGATAATATGTTCTATAATAATTATAAAATAATTATAAAACATATACATGAGACACTAGAAATATAGGGAAATTGATAAAACTGAAGGTATAGGGGTATACTAACACCTTTTTCCAATGTAGATTAAGGAGCATAATAGTGAACAAAGATAAAATAGAATTGCATAGTAGGAATAATCAGAAAGATTTGATGTATATATGTCAAACTTTGTAACTTTCAGAGAAAATACTTATTTATGGAATATTTTCTGATTTTAATTTAATTATTTTCCACAAAGAAATCCTTAATAAATTCCCCCAAAGTAGACGTTGTACAGTCTACGTGACACCAATGCAAAAATAAACAAAATTAGAAATTTGTCATCTTTTTAAAAAAACCAAAATATAATTGGAAGCCAAAGCCTAACCAAAACCATTATTGAATGAAAGTAGAATATGAGTGTGTATTTTGTAGAAAATATGAACAATGACATTATTTATTAAAATTTATTGGAGACTATCAAAGTTACATAGAAAGGAAAATTCATAGTTTTAAATGCTTTTATAATTAAATAAGAAAGAATGAAAATAAATGATACATTCTACCCAAGAAGTAAAACAAGGCAATTAAAAACAACTAAGAAAAGTAGAAAGAACTAATAAAGATTAAAAACAAATTAATGAATTAAAAAGCAAAAGTAAAATTATTATATCCAAGCACTCATTGTTTGAAAAGGCTAAGAAATAGACAAATATCCGGCTATTAAGAAACAATGTGGTGAAACCAGATAAAAACATTCTAAGATTCAGAGATTATTTTTGTGGTGAAACCAGATAAAAACATTCTAAGATTCAGAGATTATTTTTAATTATAAAAGACTTCTCCATAAGACTTCATCCTTAACATTTTCACCCTCTGAATACAACAAACATACTAACAGAATTGCTAAAAAAAAGACTTGCCTATAGCATCTATGGAACAACTTAGGAAAACTGTCCAGGCATTTCTCCAAGTTTCACTTTTCCTCCCCAAGCATCAACTTGATCAACACACAGGAACTCTAGGGCACCTGAGCTTTTCTTAAACATTATAAGGAGATTTTGCTTCTTCCCCTACTAAAGTAGTGTGCATTGATTAACAGAAGATCCACGTGCCCAGAACAGTGTTTTTCCTCTCTCTCCCCTGGGCCCCGATTCTGCTGTATTAAGCCAGGCTCCAGCAGCTACTCTGTCAGAAATACAAAGAGCAAATGGTTTCCATGCGCATAGGGCAAAAGACTATTCTAATAAGGATGAGCAAATCATCAATTATAACATATAATTGTTCAGTGGAATCGCTGCAAGCTTTAGTTCTTCACACACA